TTACCATGGTAGCGCCATATAAGAACTATGGTACATGAATTTAAGTATCAATATTGGCATCTGATACCATGGTACTGCTGTATGTTACCGTATAACTTTTTGTAAGGTTATTATATTCACAAACCATGGCATTTAGATTGTGCTATAAGGTACTTTAAAGAATACCATGGTTCTACCATGGAAAATGTTCAAAACCTTGGTAGTACCATGGTACTTTTTGGTAAATGTAGTGAATAATTACACTTACAAAACATATGGTACTACAATGGTATTTTGGACATTTACTATGGTAATTCCATATGAAAACCTTCATGGTACATGGATAACAGTACCATGGTAAATTTGTATTAGCACTTGGTACCACTGTATTATGTTACTGCCATGGTACTTTTTTGTAAGAGTAATTATTATATTCACACACCATGCTATTTATATGGCACTTAAAGATACTTCAGAGAATACCATAGTTTAACCATGGTACTGTAAATGTACTGAACAATTACACTTACAAAAAGTACGGTACTATGTTATTTTGGGCCTATACATTGGCAGCACCATATAAAAACCATGTTAAACTAATTCCAGCATATACTGTATTTTAAAGTACCACAGTATTGCCATCCAATACCATGGTATTATGTTACCACCACAGAGCTTACTGATTATTACTCATGATCTAAAGCAATAAACCTCTTCTATGCCCATGATGGACAGTGGGAAGAGTTTGGCAGGCAATCTACCATAGTCTGTGGTTAAAGCAATCTGCTGATCATCCAGTTAAAACCAGAGACTCCGGAACAGAAGACAATTATATTCACAACACTGCAGCGCACAAACGCATCCTCCAACTAGATCATTCGACTCACTGCACTGTGACAAATTTCATACTGAATAGATAATAATGTCATTATAAGGTCCATCTATAATGGAGCCACAGAGCCAACATGCTCCATGATCCACAAACATCTTGGGGCGACTGGGGGCTCCTGTAGGTGCCGGAATCAGGAGTAAAGCAGACTTGTGTTTAATAACACAAGTTGACATTTGGGTTTGAGTAATATTTACAGTGTAGAGGTCTGGATGGAGACTCAATTGAAGCACAATGATGCGGTTAACAAAACCTGTGACCTGACACAACCAGTGAGACAAAACCAAACCGGAACCCTAAACTAATTGGAAATAAAATAAAATAAAATAACCCTAAACTAATTGGAAATAAAATAAAATAAAATAAAATAAATAATTAACTTAGGTTTAGTGATTTGAACAAGACTTGAAAGTCAATAGACATGTGAAAGTTGAAAGTGAGCTGTTTTGACTAGTGGTTGGACCACCTAGCAACACCCTAGCAATTAAAATAAAATGAAACGAAATGAAATGAAAAAAAAAAAAATAGCATTATTGGTTTAAAGTTGGACCACCTAGCAACACCCTAGCAATTAAAATAAAATGAAATAAATAAATAAAATAAATAAATAGCATTATTGGTTTAAAGTTGGACCACCTAGCAACACCCTAGCAATTAAAATAAAATGAAATAAATAAATAAAATAAATAAATAGCATTATTGGTTTAAAGTTGGACCACCTAGCAACACCCTAGCAATTAAAATAAAATAAAATAAAATAAAATAAAATAAAATAAAATATAATTATTGGTTTAAAGTTAGTGATTTAATTAAGACGAAGTTAAATTTACACTTGAAGGTGGGCTGTTTCGACCTGGTCCGGCTGAACCACATAGTAACACCCTGGCAACCACCAAGAATTCCCTGATGTTATGGAGTTTTGCACTTGTAAGAACCACTCATATGTCCTTAAAAAAAAAATAATAATAAATTATATATATAATAATAATAATAATAATAATAATATATTTTTCCATTAATTATTAATTCAATCCCGATGGAATTCTGGGTCTTTTTGGTCTTAGATTAGGTACCAGACCTCTAGTATGAGTAAAAAAAATGAGAGTAGAGTGTGTGTATCTGTGTGTGTGAGAGATGTTTTACCCTTCACAGCACACTCCCTCTGGGATCCCAGAGCCCATTTACAAACCCTCATCAAAAAATAGCTCACACACACATTATCACTCTCTGAATGTGTGTGCACACACACAGCTACTCGAATACATATATACATCATATACAGGTGCACAAAAGTGTGTATATGCGCACAAATGTATGAGGCTGTCGACGGTCCATCTGTCCTCATGTTAGGAGCATGAATTGTTCATCTTTCCAGAGCTCATTTGTCATGAAGAGGCCAATTCAATTCTTGTAATTGGTTTTATATGCTACCACTGTATAATAAAACTTCAAGTAAGCTACATCAATGGGACAAAAATCGGTTCTTTCAAATATATATATATATGCACTACCAAGTTTTTTTGTTGAAAACAAGTCTCTTATGTTCACCAAGGCTGCATTTATTTGATCAAAAACACAGTAAAAAGAAGGAATATTGTGAAATATTTTTCCAATTTAAAATAGCTGTTTTCTATTTTAATACAATTTAAAATGAAATGTATTCCTTTGATGTCAAAGCTTAACTTTCAGCAGACATTAGTCCAGTTTCAATAATTATCAATTATTATTGGTACACACATATTATGAATTGGTTCTTAATATTATCAATGTAATAAAAATATTAACAGTTTTTGCTGTTTAATATTTTTCTGGAAACTGACACTCTACCATTCAAAAGTTTGGGGTAAGTAAAAAAAATAAAAATAAATAAGGAAACTAATACTTTTATTTAGCAAGGATTCATTAATTTGAACCAAAGTGACATTTAAGACATTTATAGTTGCACAAGATTTATATTTCAAATAAGTACTGTTGTTTGAAACTTTCTATTCATCAAAGAATCCTGAAAAAAAATATTTGTAATTAAAATAATAATATAAAAAATACTAAGCAGCAAAAAACTGTATCAGCATTGATAATAAAAAGACCCATTATTTATAATTGAGTACCAATAACAACTGATAATAATTTAGCATCAAATCAGCATATTAGAATGATTTCTGAAGGATCATGTGACACTGAAGACTGGAGTAATGATGCTGAAAATACAGCTTTGCATCACAGGAATAAATTACATTTCACAACATATTCAAATAGAAAACAGTTGTTTTAAAATGTAATAATATTTCAGAATATTACTGTTTTTACAGCCTTTTTAATCAAATAAATGCAGCCTTGGTGAGCATAAGAGACTTCTTTCAAAAACATTAATAAATCATAAATATTCCCAACTACGATACATATTTTATTTATTTCTTATACAGAAAATATCAGTAGCTCAGTATAATAATGAAAGTGAATGGAAATGGAAATTATGATTATGATAGACAAAAAAACATGAGCACATGCTATTCTCCTTCCACATGTCCTGTTCATTTACTCATCTCTTTCGTCAATGAAACGCCTCCTCAAACAATCACATAAACCCGCTTTTCTAATTATCATCTATCTAAACCCTTTCACTGCCCTAAAAAAGCTTTTTTTTCTGAATAGAGCCAGACATCTACACCTGCTGCTTAAATTTCTCTGTTTCTCTCTTTTCTCCTGCTGTTTGTCGCTCTTTCACCCTCCCAGGGTGGAATGGTGTGAATTAAAAACCATGCAAACAAAGAAGCCCATTAAATTATGTTGGGAGAACTACGAAAGCACTAACTAAATGAGGTACAGAAAGAATTGTTCCTTGTGTGCAAGCCTTTTGGGAAAACAGCGGGAATATATGCACACATCACGTGAACACACACACACACACACATGCTCAGTGGTATGATAATGTGATAGCCTGCTGTCAAGGTCACGCTCACCTCTACGTCTGCGAAGGGAGCAAAAATCATTAAATAACACACTCAACAGCAACAATATGGAAATTAGGACCATTTTCTGAAATCGCCCTGTGCATGCTTCAATATCAAACTCGTGTTCATATTAACATGTAGCTGCGCTGTGAAGTGCTTTTCATCCTTATGAATGACTATAGTCTGTTTGTATAGTGAAGTGGTGGCGTGTGGAGTCGTGTGATAACATGTTAAACAAATGAAAGACACAAAGGTTATCAGCTGTGAAGGAGACATGCCTAACATTAAGAATTTCTGTCTGCAGCGTCTAATTACTTTTACACTATAACACTGCCTATAGAAATTGTTTTGACAAATTGCAAATGGATATTTATGAAATATTATGATCAATTTCACTAGCACTGCAAAAATATTAAAGGAATCAGTCATTAAAAAATGAAAATTTACTGAAATCTTACTTAACCCCTGGTCTTCAAAGATGTAGATGAGTTTGTTTTTTTTATTACAACAGATTTGGAGTAATTTAACATTGCATCACTTGCTCACCAGTGGATCCTCTGCAGTGAATGGGTGCCGTCAGAATGAGAGTCCAAACAGCTGATAAAAACATCACAATAATCCACATGACTCCCATCCATCAATTTACATCTTGTGATGCAAAAAAGTGGCATCTTTTGTAAGGAACAAATCTGTTATTAAGATGTTTTAACTTTAAACCATCGCTTCTGGACAAAATATGAGCCCATAATCCATAATAACACTTCCTCCAGAGAAAAAGTCCAGTTGTTCCTTCACATCAAAATCCATGTTTGACATGTTTGTTTAGAACTGTTTTCGCTTGTAAAAGCTGCTTGATCTGTGCATATTTCTCTCCTGATTCAGACAAGATGACGTTTCACTGCAGAAAACAATTTTATAAGTAAAGGTCGACTGAAAGCGACAGTTTTACATGCTTTATTGATGGATTTGATTTTTCACTTGATACGATGTTAATTGAGTGGTGTGGATTATTGTGATGTTTTTAGCAGCTGTTTGGACTTTCATTCTGACGGCACCCATTCACTGCAGAGGATCCATTGGTGAGCAAGTGATTTAATGCTAAATTTCTCCAAATCTGTTCTGTTCTAGGGTTTAACTACTGTATCATATTATACACTGAAAAACAGCTTTGTTGTACTTACTTTGGGAAACTGTTTTACAGGGATCAAAATCTTCTGTCCCAGTTTCATGTTCTTGTTGATGACAACATCAATGAACTTCTCATCCTCTTTGTCTTCATCTTTCTGAACCTTTTCGATTTCTGTTAAGAGAGACAGAGACAGGAAGAGTTTGTCAAATCATTATGGTTTATCCGTGTGAATCTCAGGTTCAGATAAGCTCAGATAACAGTCCTGCCATTTGCCCGATGTCATTCGTATCAAGGGTATTTTGACTGATCAGTGGACTGTGAAATAGCTTCCATTGGCCACGCTGTAATTCAATTGGATGTGCTTATAATCATATCTGAAATACATTTCTCTGTGATTGGTGGATATTTCTGTTGGTGAGGCAAGCGTTGTCTGATTAGACATTAAAGTGTGTAAATGAGCTCTTCGAACACGCACTGAAGTCTTTGTTGTTGAGGGACACAGTGGGGTGCTGGGGTATTAGTCACATTAATGAGTTCTTGTATGAGTGTGGGTACTCGTGATACATTGCATTATTGGGACGTAGTGGGTTTGCAACTCATTGATGTACTTAGCGGAAAACAATATGGAAAAGGTCATTTCAGAAGCACTGGAAAAAAGATGGAGAATTTGAAATGTCCATCACACATTCAACATCCACATGAACTGGACAGCACAGTGATTAAATTGCTCAATCAAATGCAAGATTCATCTTCTCCACACAAATGTAGCCAGACAATTGTTAAAATGATTTAGCATGTTCTATTTTTAAACAACTTTATATTGAATTTAGTACCATTTCAGAGAACATTCTCTACAACAGAACCATTTTCCAGATCAGAACATATTGATCTGAGTTAGATTTGTGTGCTCTCAAATATTCATCAAAAAGTAAAGAGCTGTGGAAAAAATATTTACGCAAACGTCAAGCAGGTCTTCTCAGGTTGGTGTGGTTCATCTGCGATACAACTTAATTCCCGTCCCATTGCAATAAACCAGTTATTTTATAGCTAAAACATGGCTTCTGAATATGAATCAGTTTATGTAACAAGACCTAATTAATAATTAGGAGATAAGCCATCAAAAGAATACGACAGTGCCTGTCCACTTTTTCATTTTTCCCATTGGTATTTTTAAAAAGTCTTCATTTAAGAGTTATAAGCAATGAACCAAACTATCCAGGTACAAAGTGAATTATCATTGATTTGAAGCAAAAAAAGTGTTTGAAAATCGGACACAAAGACTGTGTCCTAAAATGGATTGTTATGGGTCATTAATTACTCACCCTCATGTTGTTCCAAACCTGTAAGACATTCGTTCATCTTCAGAAAACAAATTAAGATATTTTTGATGAAATCCTTGAGCTTTCTGACCCTCCATAGACAGCAAGGGAACTATCACATTCAAGGCCCAGAAACGTAGCAAGATTATTGTTAAAATGGTCCATGACATCAGTGGTTCATCCCTAATGTTATGAAGCTACAAGAATACATTTTGTGTGCAAAGAAAACAAAAATAACAACCTTTTTTTAAATTTTATTTAATGCATGTGTTGTGATACTGTCATGAATGGACAGACTGACCCAGAAAAGATGAAATCGTTGAATACAGTCGTTATTTTTGTTTGCTCACTAACACAGATTTAGACAGATTTGTGAACAACATTTGAGAGAAATAGGCCTTTTGTGTACATAGAAAAAGTCTTAGATCTTTGAGTTCAGCTCATGAAAAATGGGGGCAAAAACAAAGTGTTGCGTTTATAATTTTGTTCAGTATATGTGTGAAAAGTATCAATCTATGACATATTTTTAAGAATAAATACAAAAAAGTGTATATACAACATAAAACCTGTCGAGCAAACATTTGCAGAGACAGGTGTGTAAAATATGGTAAATGATCTTTTGTGATAACTGTACACTTGCAGAACACATGCTAGCATTGCACAGCATTATCCTCCACAATTTGGTTGCTAGGAGACACTGCTGTCAATCAAAAGACTGTAAAAGCTAATGGTTAAGTCTGAGCTTTTATAGTTTGGAACCGGATTTTCTCTTTAAGTTAGTACTTGATGCTGGGGATTTGATGTTGCCTAGTTAGAGTATGTTGTCATGTCTCATCTGGGATCTGTGTGTCAAACTTTATTATAAAGTATCAAATTAATATCTACGTATAGCTACTCAGAGAGCTGGGAAGAGAACAAACGCTGCAGCCCTTCCCCGCTCCGTTTCCCAGGCCCACAGAGACAGCAGATTCAGTGGGCTGTGGTTCATCTCATTGTTTCGTATCATTATTCCTGTAGTCGAGGGGCAAAAAACGCACCCAAGAGAATACTGTAAAAAATATAAATTTCCCTCCTTAGATAACCAGCAGCCTTTCCAACATAATCTCCATTCAGAAGATTGTGACCTACCAACAAATCTAAGCTCAGCTATATTATACTACGGCTATATTTTTATTCAAGGATAGACCACAACCTCCACTTTACACATATATCAAACTAAAAGAAGTTCAACTCATTTCTGAAAATCTGACCTTTCGAATAGTTTTTACGCTTTAATATGTCTATTCAGGCACATGAAAAAAAAAGAAAAAAAAAATATATATATATATACTGCTGGTCGGATTTTTATGTTTTTGAAAGATAAGCTCACCAAGGCTGCATTTATTTGAACAATAATATTGTGAAATATTATTACAGTTCAAAATAACTGTTTTCTATTTGAATGAATGAATATATTTTAAAATGTAATGTATTCCTGTGATGCAAAGCTGAATTTTTTGCAGCCATTATTCCAGTCTTCAGTTTCACATGATCCTTCAGAAATCATTCTAATATGCTGATTTGCTGCTTGCTTTTATGAATAGAAAATTCAAAAGATCAGCATTTTTTAAATAAAAACTTATAACAATGTTTAAGTCTTTACTGCCTCGTTTGGTTAAAGCTGCAGTCCATAAGTTTTGCCTCTTTGTCGCCATCTCTGTTTGAAAACCTGTAATTGCAGCTGTGTGCGGAATTATCTAGCTTGCGTGGGTTGTGATTTGGCGCAGCTCCAGCGCGGATGAATCTAATGTTCTGAAGAGTATGTGTGGCAGTCAGTCACCGCACCGGTGTGGATATTGTACTTTGCACTCACA